GGACCTTAAACAAGTTCCAGACTTTAAACAACCCTTGATAAAAGAACAGTTAGTCCATTTGTATTTAATGTGCTGGTATTCATTAAGGACAAGGTTTTGTCCAGTCCAAAGTTTCCAAGAATGTGTAGAATTTCACTGGCCACGCCTCTCCAAGTTAGGTTCTCAAGTCCATTAAGAAAGCGCTGAATAAACTCTAATCGAAAGGCTGCCCCTCCACTGGACAGGTGGATGACTCCTTGTCCACCCTCATCTTTAGGGAGATACAGCACACTCTGAGGAATCCAATGTAGGCGGTCCCAGAAGAGGTTCACCAAAAGGCTTTGAATTTGGGACAATAGATTTGAAGGTGGGTCTAGAACCATTAGCTTGTGCCACAAAAAAGAAGGTACCAAATTATTTCTGATTAGACTCCGTCCCCTGTAAGACAACCGAGGCGCCAACCATTTCCATTTGTTTAGACAGCCTTTTATCTTTTCAATGGCACCATCCCCATTCTTTTGCAAAGTATAAGCATCACCTAAAAAGAAACCAAGATACCTGAACCCTCCTCTTTTCCAGTTAAGTCCATCTGGAAGTTTAGGTATTTTACCCAGCCAGTCACCCACTAAAAAGGCTTCACTTTTATTCCAAATAATCTTGGCAGATGATAATAACCTGAAGTCTTTAGTTATTTTGTTCAAATAATCTAAGTCTTTCTGATCTTTCAAAATCACCACCAAATCATCAGCATATGCTGACAACTTTAAAACAGTGCGACTATTTGCCAAAACCACTCCAGAAATTTCAACTCTCAATTTATTTAATAATGGTTAAATTGATAATGCATACAGCATCCCTGACAAGGAACAACCTTGACGTATACCCCTCTTCACCTTAAAAGGTGCACACAAGCCGCCATTAATCTTTAGTGAGCTCTCAATGTCACAATATATAATCTTAATCATTTTGATAAAACCAGAATTAAATCCAAAGGTCTCTAAAAATGTCCATAAATAATTATGCTCCACTCGGTCAAGCTTTGGTAGACCAGTGAGAAAAAGATCTTCCAATTCAACGTTTGCTTTACATTCACTTTGAAAGAGATTGGAATAAAAATCTCTTGCAAGTTTTTTTTTTATATCAGAGGACTCGGTACATAAAAACCCCTGATTCAGACTTCAGAGCATTTATATATCGTCTTTGTCCATTTTTCTGTTCCAAACCAAAGAAAATCTTGGATGGCGCATCCATATCAGAAATGTTTCGGAAACGAGAGTGGACCAAAGCGTCCTGTGCCTTTTTTTCCAGGAGATCTTTTAGTTCAATTTTCGTCAATCTAATTTTTTCTGTATATTGTTCATTACTTGTAATATCTGCCAGATTTTGAAATTCTAAAATGTCATTTTCTAGACAATTTTGAGATATAATTCCTAGTGACATTGAAAGGGTACTGCTGACACAACTGTTTAATTTAAAATGTTCCTATATCCCACCACTGCTGTAAAGAAGAAAATGTTCTTTTTCCATTCTAAAATTAAACCAGAAGTAGGAAAATATTTATTTAAAATGGTTATCTTCCAGCAGGGCAGTATTAAAATGCCAGAAAGCACTTTTGGGTTTAACTGACCTTATAGATAACGTACACAAAACCACAGAGTGATCAGAAAACCCTTCTGGGAAAATAGAACAACTTTTGTAGACACTAAGGCAGTGCTTAAAACAGTAGAACCTATCAAGTCTGTTTTTGATTTTTATGAAAATTCCTCTAAATATCACAGAGGTCATATGTAGATATTAGCTCAGTGAGTAGCTTTCTTGAAGACATGTGAGGCTCTATATGGTTTCTGTCCAAGCTATGCTCATTACAATTAAAAACACCACCAATAAGGAGAAATTCATTAGGATCGCAGTCCTTTAAAGCGTTAACCAGCAAATCTAAAAACACCATTCTATCAATGGCCATTGTTGGTGCATAGAGGCATATAAACACATACCAGTTATCTTCAAATTGTGCTCTGACTTTAAGGAGTCTGCCCTTAATAATGTCCTTTACCTCATAAGAGACAGGAGTGCAGTTGGGTGAAAATATTATGGCAACCCCACCACTATTTGTTGTATTGTGACTTAAGAATAGTTGTCCCTTAAACTCCCTTGCCCAATCAGCAGCATTCAAAACATCAATGTGTGTTTCTTGTAAAACCATAACATCAACATTTTTTCGTCTCATTACTTCAGCTAATTCTGCTCCTGCTCAGCCAAATGCTCGTCGTTGCCTGACCAAACAAAAAGTTAACCAGACAAATTTTCCTCTGTTGTGCTGCCGAGTATTATGGTCTAAAAATAAACAACTCATCGTTAAAATTGAGTCCTAAACTACCACCCACTGCTTTTGTCATGGGCTCTCTGCTTGGGCTGATTGCCTGCACCTGTCTCTGCTCTGCTCCCGTCAACCTGCCAGCTGCTCTGCATTTCCTGATTACCATCTCTGTATGTAAAGCCTAGTTTTTTCAGTCCACACTTGTCAGATCGTCTGCAAGCCTGCATCAGACACCTGCTTGTGTCTTTGATTCTGACTCCCATCTGTGATCCAGGACCGATATCCCTACTTCCTGTCTCCCAAATACTAATTAAACATTGGAATAAAATTGTGCTTTTGGGTCCTCCTCTGTCTACGCTGACAGAACGATCTGACCAGACATGGACCCAGCGCATGTTCAACCCTGCATGGAGACCAACAAACCTGAACAACCCAGTTTTTTAACTGAAAGTCATCATTCCCCAGAAAAACACTTAGGACCTTCATCCCCTCTGTGCTCCACTGCAGCCCGGCCGGTAAGGTATGCCGCTCGTTGTTGCTCCACTTTCCCAGTAAAAGACCCTCACACTTTGACCAGTTAACTTTGCCAGAAGAAGCTTGCTCATATAGTTTTAGTTTTTGTTCCAGAGTCCTAATATAATTTTGGCATCCTATAAAAACCGTGATGGCGTCAGTATATTGCTGACAACCTAACTGAAACATTTGTTTTGTCTGCCAGGTTTAAACCAGATAGATTTTGCCTGAGCTGATACAAGAGAGGCTTAATAGCCAATGTATAAAGCATCCCAGAAAGAGGAAATCCCTTTCTGATTCCTCTCTGAACACAAACAGGTCTTGCTTTTAGTTTTCTTCGGGTCAGACAACAATAATCCACAATAATGTTTTACCTAGCATGACTAACACAGACGAAGACAAGAAGAACTTAATACAAGTACAGACAGGTCTGCTAAGTCCCCTTCCTACCTTCAACAGTACAGTGGCTCTTGAATACAATAACTTAAAGAATGAAATAAAAATGTTACCAAACCCAAACGCTTACAGTGTTTTAAACTAATTTTGATGATCTACTCAATCAAATGCCTTTTCCTGATCAAGAGATAGCAAACCCATATCTTGTTCCTGAGATATTGATAAATCTATGATATCTCTAAGTAAAAACAAATGGTCCATTACTGTCTTGTCACGGACACTGTACGTCTGGCTGGCGTGTACAATTATGTCCATACATTTTTTTAAGCCTATTCGCCTGAATTTTATAGTCTGTGCAGAGCAGTGAAACAGGCCGCCAGTTATGTCTTATTTTTTTGGCAGCAACGTCAGGACTGCTATCCTACAGCTGGTTGGTAACGTCCCAGAGTCCAAACATCCCAGGAAAACTTCCATTAGGTCCTTTCCAATTAAGTTCCAGAATGTCTTCTAAAATTCCACAGGAAGTCCATTGACACCAGGCGGCCGACCATAGCTAAGCTGGTTCACCGCTGTAGACGGCTCTTCAAACTGCACCATGGACTCCAGTGAGGCTGCAGATGCCTCCCCTAAAAAAGGGAGTCCCTCCAGTATCTCCTCCACATGGTCTGACTCACAAACATCAGCTCTAAACAGGCTGCTGTAAAAGTCTATAGCCAGCCTCCTTATCTCAGATGGGTCACTGGTCACAGTTCCATTGGAGCTCTTGAGGTGCATCATCTGGTTCTGTTGCCTGACCTTTCTTTCCAACTTAAAAAATAATTGAGTGGGTGCATCTTTGTCCTTAATAGAAAGGATTATAGATTTAATGAAAGCTCCTTTAGCTTTTTCGTATAAAAATCTGCTCAAAGATGCCCTCTTCTTCTGCCAAGTCACATTACTATCATTATTCATGTCCGACCCATTAGCTATGCCCTCTTCCGATAAATGAAGTTCCTTCTCCAATAGTTCAATCTGATCCCTTTCTATTGCTTCTGGGTGTGATGTGTATTGTTCCTCCCTCAATTGATGTTTAGACATCCTATTTCCAGACTCTGCATAGAGAAGAAGGGTACAGGCTGAAAAAGTCACCATCTGAAGACTCATGTTGGATCTATCTCCTGGCCCTTTCAACAGTTTTCTCTCTCTGAGCTTTCCTAAGGATTGCCAGATGTTTGTTTAGATGGTAGCGCCTCTTTTCCTCCAGGAGGTCATTGTTAACCAGCCTCTTTAATATACTTACAGATTTGTTTGTGTCCTCAAAGTAATCACTGACTTTGACTGACTTGTTAAATTTTTCATCCAGAAACTCATTTATTTCCCCCAAAGACTAGAGATCAATCCTTCTGCTCACCCCTTCACTAATGTCTGACTCTGTTTCATATTCCATCTCCACATGAAGTCTGACTGCAGAATTCCCCCTGTCCTGTCCAACTTGTGGTAGCTCTGTCCTGAGTACTCTCTGCAGCTTCAGACTCCTGCTACTTTGCCAGCTTAATCGGTTCAGTTGTCTCCGTTTCAACATTACAATCCACCACCGCAGCCTCCATAACGGCCACAAGGCTTGCGGCCACGGGCACTGGCCCCTCGGCTACCGTGGGGCCAGTGTGTCCCGAGCTGGCGTACACCATGTAAAGCCCATCACTGTGCTTCACCCGGACTCCAGTGTCTGTGTGGAGGACTCCAAGAATATGAAAACCTGCCACCTCAGAGACTGGAAATGTTTCAGTTTCTGATCTTTGCATCCCAAACTAACTGTTCAGCAGCCACTTGCCAGTTTGCCAAACCTACGGAGCTCGTTCTCCAGCAGGACGTTCGGGATGAACGACGGAACACCGGATACAGTGATCCGCGTGGATCGCACTGACAGCGGGGAAACCTGCACCAACAAGTCCCTGACAACCTCCCCAGACTCAATTAGCTGATGGACTTTAGGCTCGTTCTTCAGAAACACCACCACCGCTTTGTTCATGCGTGAGGCATGAGACAATTCACTGCTCTCCGACACCTCCACAGTTACATAGCTGTCCAGAGGGACTATCCGCACCCCCTGCTTGATAGACGGAGGAGGGGTCCCTTAAAATTACTTACAGAACACTCTTACCTGACTTACCTGATTTAGTGCATTCAGAACAGTCGGAAAATTGATGGAAACCGAAATACACCAGGGAAAGTATCACCATTCAAACTTAGCGCCACTCTCACGTCTACCCCCTACAATCACACTCACCGGAAACGTAAATGGCTAGACAGACAGACAGACAGGCAGACAGACAGATAGACAGATTACTCCCCAGGGGAAATTAGACAGCCTCAGACTTCAGTGAGGAAGGGAAATGCCTCCCAGCACAGTAATGTAGGCTTAAATTGGGCTTAATTTATTTATTTATGCATTTCTTTATCCATGGATTTATTTATTTAAGCATTCACTCATTTATTCATTTCATAAAAGTTTATTTCATACACAAATGTTTATTGTACGACAGAGTATTAGGGCCATATTTAACAAAAAAATTCTTAGTTGATAACGAGATTTAGGTCGTTATTAAATATAGAGAGAAAGTTCTGAAACCTATTTCGAAGCACATTTCTCATTTTACCATCTCTACTCTAAAACAAGAGACAATATCAATTACTTTATTCTCGTAATTAATTTTTGAAAAATGTTTTTTAAATGTAGCTCTAATACTTTGTCATATTATTATCTACTTATTATTTATTTATCATTATTTATTCTATCAAGTCTTGTAAAGAACACTGTTCACTTATTTATCTGCTCTAATTTAAAACCAACTATGATGCTCTGCAAAGTTTAGAAATCACAATTTTATGTGATATGAATCAGAGGACAGACAGGAATCATGAAAGATGAACCTTTAATACAAAATGTGCAGACACACAGGAAACATGTCTCATTTGCTGCTTGGAGATCCAAACGAGCCCTCAGCTGAACGCCATCAGGAAGAGGTGAGCACCTTTCTGGACCCGAAGAGCCGGTACATGAATTTCTGGACCTCTGTGGACTGCACCCCATAGATGATGGGGTTCAGGCTGCCTGGGATGATGTGGAACAAGATGGCACACAGTTTCCTCTGGTCAGAGTACTGAGGAAAGCGATGCAGAGCGATGACCAGAATCCCACAGAAAAGCATGACCAGGTATACCAGCAGGTGGGTGCTGCAGGTCTTCAGGGCCTTGCTGTTCAGAGACTTGTTTTTACTGGTCAGACACACTGCTGTGATCTTAGAATAGGTGATGACGATGCTTCCGATGGAGGCCGTGAAAAGAACCACAGTGAAGGCCAGCCCATAGATGTTGTTAACCAGCACACTCTCACAGGAAAGCTTGAACAGGGAGGCATTGTCACAGAACGGGTTGGTGATCAGAGTCCTGCAGCGGGTCAGCCGGATGGTCAGACCCAGCAGGACCCCCACCAGCACAAAGGCCACCCCCCAGGCAGACGCCGTGAGCTTGATGATCATTCTACTGGTCATAATGGAGTTGTAGTGGAGGGGCTGGCAGATGGCCACATACCTGTCGAAGGCCATGATCATCAGTACCGTATGGGAGGTGGTGCCGAACATGTGTGTGGTGAAAGCCTGCAGCACACACTCAGAGTAGCTGATGAGGCGCTGGGGAGGGGGCAGCAGGATGTCCGAAAGCAGGCGGGGCACCATGATGGAATTCCCCAGGATGTCGTTGAAGGGCAGGTTGCAGAATAGCAGGTACATGGGCTGGTGGAGGTTCCTGTCCACACAGACCAGCACCACAATGCCCACATTAAGGGCCATGATCAGCAGGTAGGAGACAAGGAAGAAAAAGAACACCGGGTACACGGACACCTGCGTGACCTTAAGCCCCTCCAGTTGCAGGGTGAGGCTGTTGAAAGTGTAGTTCTCCATCAGCCTGAAAAATCAAAACAAGGGATTTTATTGGATCTGTGAGGACGTTTGCATTTTAATATGGAGGCAGTCTGAAAGTAGGTAAGACAGCCAATTAAAATATAAATATCTGAATCATATTAAAGGCTTTAAACATATCAAAATGAGTGACATGTGGTTACCTTTCGGTCCCTAAGAGTACAGACTGACAGCAGCCGACCGTCTGCAGGAAGCAGCACTTCCCTCTTGTTTTTATCACGACGTGTGCTCATCAGAGAGCAATGCAGCCTGACGTCATGATGTAGGCTGCAGCCTCCAGCCTTCAAAATCAAATGGGAACATTCTGTCTGGACGAGTGTGCAAGGCTCTAGGCTACAGCTAGCCCTGCCATATAACTATACGTTGGTTTATTCCAGCTAACAAAAGGCATAAGTACAGTTTTCCCAAAGAACATAAAGTAGAATTTATTAGATGCTGATTTACAGATTCTGTCCTGTTTCATAGAACCTTTGAACTGAAGCAGTTCTTTTCTGTTATGTACACTTTGTCTGACAGTTAAAGACTCAATTTACCATGATGTGATCTTTAGACTAACCACTCAGACCCAGTTTGAGTATTAATGTTCTGACTACGTGAGACTGTCTGTCTCTGTTGACGTCTTTCCCTAACATCAGGGCCATCTTAATCAGTTCTGATGCAACAGTCTGAATGTTACAGTTCTGATGGAATTGGTTCTGAATGAACAGCCTGAATGAACCAATTCCGATGGAACAATCTGAATGATCCAGTTCTGATGGAACCAGTTCTCAATGAACAGTATGAATAATCCAGTTCTGAATGAGCAGCCTGAATGAACCAGTTCCAATTGAAGTCTGAATGAACAAGTTCTGATTGTACAGACTGAATGAATCAGTTCACGATTAACAGTCTGAAAGAACCGGTTCTGAACTGGAAATTATATCTATATATATCATTTATTTATTTATTTTCTGTGTCATTACAGAGACTTTATCAACAATAGAACAAGTAAACAAGTCAAGATCTCGGCTGCTTCTGCAAACATGTCAGGTCCCGCAGCACAGGCTGTCCAGCGATATCACAGAGCTAACCAAGTGAACCCTGACGTCTTTAAATATGGATAGCCAAGAAGGCAAAGCTGTTTTGAATGAAATTTTGAAAGCTGTGAGTGAACTTGAAAATATATTGCAGGCTGTTCATATATCAGACTACTTCAGAGTGCCTCAGCATTCAGAGTGACAATTTACCAGAGATGTAAAAGTACTGGAGTAGAAGAGTCGAGTAGAAGTACAAGTACTCTATAAATAAATTGACTTGAGTAAAAGTAGAAGTACTGTATTCTTTCAACACCATACTTAAGTGAAAGTACGGAAGTACTAAATATTTTTTGTACTTAAGTATTGCAAGTAGAAGTATTTAAAAAATTGCTACTCAAGTATCGAAAGTACAAGTATAAGTAAAAGTACAAGTACTGTGTATATTAAAAAAAAAGCTGTCAAAAGTTTGATAGATATTATTTATATTATTTCAATTGTGTGTAAGGCCATCCAGGCCATTGATTTTATGTTTTTAACTGAGACATGGCTCGACAAAACCACAGCTGATGCTGTCCTGATTTAGGCTAGTCCACCAAACTTCAGTTATGTATCGGAGACACGTCAGAACCAGAGGGGTGGGGGGTTTTGTGCCATATTTAGGGACGATTTACTCACACAAAAACTGTAATTTGGGTTTTTTCATAATTTAAGTATGTGTCATTCCAGATGGAGATAAAACAATCTTCAATTCTTTATATTACCATCTTTAAACCCCCACGGAACTGTTTCATAGATTATTTAACTGAATTACTCTCGGTTGTGTGCACTAACTTTGACTGGCTGGTCATAACAGGGGACCTAAATTTGCATGTGGATGTGGCCCAAGATAAGTATAGGAAGTGTAAGTAAAGAACTCACTGCTGTCTTTGAGATGTTTGGTCTAACTCAGCGTGTTGAAGCGGCCACTCACAACAGAGGGCACACTCGAGATGTACTCATTTCAAAGGGTGTTGTTATTTCAAATGTGCATGTTGTTGATGTTGCTTTGTCTGATCTTTTTTGTGTTTTCTTTGACCTGTCTGTTACACCCAAACCAGCAATTAGGTCTGCAGTTGTTTGGGGAAGAGTCATTAATGACAACACGGGGAAACAGTTTTTGGAAATGATCAGGTTTGAAGATACGCCATGTTCTGATGTTGATGTTCTGCTAAATTCTTACACATCAAGTGTCTTAAAGGTCTTAGATACCATTGCTCCTGTCAATGTCAGAGTGTTTAAAAACAGAAAAAAAGGCACCATGGAAATGTGATGACTTGGTCAGGGCACCGAAAAGGGAGTGCCGGAAAGCTGAACGGAAGTGCCGCAAGTCAAAGCTCCATGTGTATTTTAAGATCTACAAACAAAAGTTGTGTGTTTTCAGCCAGACTTTGCATAGAAAAAGAGAGAGTTATTTTTCTGAAATCATCAAGAACTGCGGAGACAACTCTCATGCCCTATTTGCTACAGCTAGCAGATTAACAAACCCTCCAGTCTCACTGCCCTTGGAACTCATTTCTACATCCAAATTTCAGGAGTTTGCAATATTCTTTAATGACAAAGTTAAAGGCATAAAAAACGCAATCATTCCTAAAACACCAATAGCTACTCTGCCCCCAGGTAAACATCTAGAGCTGACACAGTTTACACCTGTCACTAACTAAACTATTGAGGAGATCATCTGTAGCCTGAGTCCATCCACCTGCTGTCTGGAAGAGTTACTCACTAAATTCCTAAAGTCTGTGTAGAGCAGCTTGTTACCACAACTCGCTCATCTAGTCAACATCTCACTTCAGACGGGAACATTTCCAAAGACCTTAAAAACAGCTTTCATTAAGCCTCTTCTAAAAAAGAGCAGTCTGGGTGCCACTGTACTGAACAACTACCGACCCATATTAAACCTTCCATTCTAAGGGAAGGTCCTGGAAAAAGTTGTATATCAACAGCTGACTGACTTTCTCCTGTGTAACAATGTGTTTGATGCCTTCCAGTCAGGTTTCAGGCCCCACCACAGCACTGAGACAGCTCTGATCAAGGTGACCAATGACATTCACCTGAACTCAGATGCAGGCGTAGTCTCGGTCCAAGTTCTGCTGGACCTGAGCACTGCCTTTGACACAGTGGACCATGTGATTTTATTACAGAGGTTAAAGGACTGGGTTGAAATCTCTGATGCAACTTTAAAGTGGTTTAAGTCCTACCTCGAGGACAGCTGTTACTTTGTGGAAATTGGGAACTGTGTCTCAGACCAAATGGATCTGACCTGTGGGGTTCCCCAAGCTTAAATCCTGGGGTTGAACCGTTGTGTCAAGGGTTATGTCTTGGAAGTGGGTAAGATTGTGTTAAATTGTGAAGCATTTTGGAGACACTCTCAACCTACTCCTATGCCATTCACCACTGGGAGTAAAATTTGAATTTCTTAAGTTTACAAGGAATATAGATGTTTTTTTAAGCAAGTGGGGGTATTGATAGATATCTATCTATCTATAATTTATTTATTTATTCATTTGTCTCAGCTCCTCTTTAACAGCATATTTTTGTGGACATCTTTGCATTTAAACATTTAAAATACAAGAAATAAAATGGGTTTTTATACAGCCGTCCACTGCAGTGACCGCTATGTGAGGGCTTGAAGGTGGGGCCATCTTCCAGAACCACTGCTCTTTACAGAAGCAGATGAATCCACTGGAGACGGGTGTGTGTTTTTGGACAGATACCAGCAGTTGCCAGGCAGTGGTTGCCATAGCGATGTGATGCTTCCGGGTACCAGCAGTCCAGATAAAAGATTCCAGCCCTGGAGTCTGGAGGGGGAGGTGTTAGTGTCAGAGCTGCCAGCAGAGAGGAAGCCTCTGGTCATTTTGAGCACATTTCTTTTCCCTCCATTCAAACAAAGCGCTGCTCTTCCAAAACCAGAAGATTTAAATGGTCTGCTGTGCTCATGGTTCAGCTCCTGCATTCCCTTTAAACCGCCACAATGACAGGATGTGTGCTTTTGTCGCTTGCAGCAGCTGTTCATGGGGGCTTTTTTATTGATTTATTGAATTTTATTTAACAGTTTTTTACTGTTTTATTTGAATTAATCAGATGTTTTTTTGATGAAATTTAAGTAAGAGTTTTACTTTCCAAAGAGTCTTTGATGAACTCTGATTAGAAAAAATTCCAGAACTGTGTTGCATCCTGTTAAATCTTGTTTGGGAAGGAGGTGCTGATAACCGGCTTCTTGACAGGTAAAAATGGACTGCTGGACGTCAACCATATATTGAATTTAATTTAACGCATTACTACTGTTTCATTTGAATGAATCAGATGTTTTCTGAAGTAATTAAAGGCAGAGGGTTATTATCTGATGTGTCTCTGAAGTCCAGAACTTTGTTGGATCCTGTTAAATCTCCTGTTTGTGTCCGGAGGAGCTGCTGATAACCGAATTCTTGACAGGTGAAAAATGGACAACTGGACGTCGACCACAGATGTGTTGATCCTGGAGGCTCTGAAGGTGACCCCTCGCTCCTCCCTGCCGGCCTTCCTCCTCCTCCTCCTCAGCTACGTCTTCATCCTGGTGTCAAACCTGGGGCTGCTGCTGGTAATCTTGAGCAGCAGGAGCCTCCACCAGCCCATGTACCTGCTGCTCTGCAACATGAGCGTCAACGACGTTTTCGGGGCCACCGTCGTCGTGCCCCACGTCCTCAGAGACCTTCTAGTGTCTGACTCGGAGCGCCGCATCCACTACATGGCCTGTGCCGTGCAGGCCTTCTGCGTCCACCTGCACGCCAGTGTCTCCCACACAGTGCTGATGGCCATGGCGTTCGACCGCTATGTGGCCATCTGTACGCCGCTGCGCTACGGCGGCATCATGACCCAGCGGGCGGTGGCAGGACTGTCGGGGGCGGCATGGGGCTCGGCAAGCCTGCTGGTGCTGGTGTTGGTGGGGCTCAGCATGCGGCTGAGCCGCTGCAGGCAGCTTGTATCCAACCTGTTCTGCGACAACGCCTCGCTGTTCAGCCTCTCCTGCCAGAGCGTGCTGGTTAATAACATCTATGGGCTGGCGTTCACCGTGCTGCTGCTGGGCTCTTCCATGTGCAGCGTGGCCCTCACCTACCTGAAGATAGCAGTGGTGTGTCTGGGCAGCAGGAACAAGACCTTGAACAGCAGGGCGCTGCAGACCTGCGCCACCCACATGATGG